AAAGCAGTTATTAATTTTTTAAAAGCCATTTTAAGGACAAAATGATTAGCCCCTTTAAGCTATATTTTTTCTGATAGTCTACAGAACAAACCATCATTATACAATAACTTGCCTAATTATCCTAACCTGTATAGTTACCCTAATTAATCTAGTTAAGCCTTTAAATGTCACTTTAAGCTGTATAGAAGTGTCTTGAAAATATCTAGTGAAATATCATTTACCGCATCATGGCACAGATAAAATAAATCAGTTATTAGAACTGAGTTAATAAAACTATTAAGAAATGTGTTGAAATAATCTTCTCTTCGTTAAACAGAAATTGGGGAAAAATATACAGGGGTGCTAACAATTCAGGGGGGCTAATAATTCTGACTTTAACTGTATGAGCAATTCTATGCGAATGTCAACTTTGCAATGAAAAAAAAAGTTTTCAGTAAAATATTAAAACTCCAATATGATTTACCAAAGTCACACAAGTGGCAATTTCACATCTGTCACATCCATAATGGAGAGATGTCACATCCATAACGACACTTTTCCCTCATAAATGCAAAAAATGTGGAACAAAATTAAACACTCATGTTTTTCCTATAGAGAGCCAACCTTTAATCTTTAGATTAGCATTCTTTCTCTTGGGTTGTGCAGTTTGATTCATCGAATTTCCTCAAAGTATACCTTATATTGTAAACAAACTTTTTTCACCACATCCATAAGGCATGCTTATTTCCCCTCATTTAAAACATAAAAGTTGTTTTACAGATTGATATTGTTATGATTCTATTACTCTGTGGTTATTTGTTTTGAAAAAATATAAACAGATTTCTCAATATAATGTTACTATATAGTTTCTCTTTGAATTTATGTTTTGAATTTTTAAGGCAAATGTCACATCCACAATGCTGGAATTGCTCATATATATATATATGAGCAATACCACACTCGTAGCAGTGCGATATGGCTGTATATTGGCACTGGAGGCCGCAGGCCGAGTGCCTTATTGCCCCCACCAGTGCCAATATACAGCCATATCTGACAGCTTCGAGTGTGATATTGCATTTATACAACAGTTTGATGACATAATTGTGTATATAAAAACAAAATCAAACATGGAGAGTCTCAAAAACCCTTTTGTACTAGGAACTACTTTCTTTTACTTTCCGTGTTAGATTAAAATCATAAGCTGACAGTTAAACAGTTGAGCGTGCATCTTATTAAACTTTAGATGTGTAGTGTCTGCTTTTTGCTGGCTGTATGTGGGCGGAGTAATACACAAAGGGTAAAGAGGCTGTACGGGTGCTGATATTACTTAAATATATCACGGCTATCAGCCAATCAGATTCGAGAACCAGACAGAACTGTTGTATAAGTAAATAAATAAATAAATAAATAAATAAATAAATAAATAAATAAGTATATATATATGTACATATGCAATATATGATTCAAAATATTGTGAAAATTTAGCTATTTATATATTTATTAAAAACCATTAGAATTACAAATCTAAAAAGAGTGAAGTAAAATAATTTAGTTTCAAATGTTTTCGTTGTTTTGCAATAATAGTTTATTTAAAAAATACAAACATGTAAATATACATGTTAAATGTAGTGTTAAAGTGGACCAAAACATTCCTCAAAGTTGCCCTAAAACCAAAATGTGTTTTAAATAACACCAGTATTTCTATATTAACATATATTAAAATTCATTTATTTGATTACTTATGCAATAATAATATTTTTTATCCATTTCAACTTAACCAAGTATATACTTTAACATATGGCAGATTATACACACACACACATAAACGCACACATATAGATATATGTACATACAGATATTATAAAATATAGATTCTTATATTCAGCTTAAAGTGACATTTAAATGCTTAAATAGGTTAATTATATATATATATATATATATATATATATATATATATATATATATATATATATATATATATATATATATATATATAAGTGTGTGAGATATATATATATATATATATATATGTGTATGTATATATGTATATATGTGTGTGTGTGTGTGTGTGTGTGTGTGTGTGTGTGTGTGTGTGTGTGTGTGTGTGTGTGTGTGTATGTG